AAGAGTTAGAATGAGAAGGCAGCTCTCTGATATGGTTCAAATAAAGGGGAAGGCAGGAGTGTTTACCAGAATACTTGTGCGTGTGTCAGAGTAGAATATGGCAGCCAATTGTTGGTTTATACTAGATAAGAATGAGAAAGACACAGCATTTTGATGAAAGGATGAATATTAAAGCCTGGAAAAGGAAAGAATTTGAGGGCTTGGATTTGCTGGCTCTCTCCAGAAGTGACTGCTTGTGTATCGGCTGAAGAAGAAACTTTAGTCATCAACATGGAGAGAGAAAGGACTACAAAAGGCAAATCTTTTTCTCTTTTTCTTATTATTTTCTTTTCTCTTTACCATATTTCAATAAATACAAAGGAGGATGTGAGCAAGGCAGTAAAAGAATGTATGAAAGAAGGAAATTTGTCATCAGATACTTTACAAAGCAAAAATGATGTAACACACTGTTTGAAGCACTGGGAATGGATGAGTTTATCCTCAAAGGGTGAAATGTATAAGAAAAAAAATACAAGAATGCCCCAGAAACAGAAGGAAGATAAAAAGCAGCTGGTAAAGGAAGTGCTGGTAGAGGTGTTAGTGAAGTATTCACTTTCATAACTTTTGTACAGTTCTTTCCTGATAATTATCTGTGGAAGAGATCATGGGTTTACTTGTTCTCTTAATATTTATTAGAAAAACAAGTCCTAACTGAGGCTAAAAGCTCAGATTGAACTGCGTGAAAATAAAGCAGGCTCAGCTGCAGATGTTCTAGTATTTGCTAGTTAGTTTTAAAATCATTGTCTTGTGTTTGCAGTCAAAGAACTATGAGAATACTTGCTGTTAAATGACTGCAGTATGCATACCTGCCTCTGGCTTACATTGCACAGCTCAAAATGTTGTTGTTTGTTCCTGGTAGTGTCTGTCTAGTTAATAAATAAATGCTAAATATGAAATCTGTCTAGTAATGAGTACTAGTATGACAGTGCCATGTTCAGAGATGTTTTTCTACTCACAGTTGCAACATTTGACATCTGGTGTGCATTGTTTTCATACTGCTGGTAAATTCTCCAGCTGGTAATCCTGATTGTGCTGACAGACACAGCTGCTCTTCTTGGTTCACTTTTAAATTATGTTTTTGACCTTCATTGAAGAGTTAATCCCCCTCCCTTTCTTCCTTCTTTGAGTCTGTGGCCACAAATGCTTTCCAGAGAAAAACCACAAACGCTTTTGCTGCTGACTTCTATTGATCAAAAAAAGTCTTCTGTCATAAAAGCTGGAATTTTGTTCGGGTACAACTAGGACTAAGTTATAGATGGAAAACTGGGCTTGAAATGAAACACAATGTATTGCAAGTGAAGAAGAAAAAGAAATCTCTGCTCTTCAATAGAGTAACTGTTTTGGTGCAGTTAATTTTGAGTGCTTGCCATGAAAGAATAATGGGATAAGACTTCACAAAAGTATAAAATATCACTTGTTTATGAGAATCATAGCAAAATGATCAGGCTGCATTGCAGCTTATGAGGGAATATTTGCTTTCCTATTTTTCTAGGGTGGTAAAGAGCTTCAGGTTTTATTTCTTTCATCAGTCTAGGACTGGAGTTTTGTTCTTCAACTGAGGGATTGTCACAGTGGTTGATTTTGGGCTGGTTCAGGTTAATGAGCGTGAAAACATGTATTAATAGAAAGATTTTTGAGAAAGTGAAGAGATTTTCAAGTGTCTACTGTTATGAATTAGACTAATATTAGAATGATAATTATATAAGGGGAAGCAAACTAAGGAAAAAGGGGATCTTGCTTTATAATCGTAGTGTAAATCTTTGGGCATGGGAGGTTAATGCAGTACATAATAGATCTTAGCAAACGGTGGTGCTAAACCCCAGCTGAAGACTGTGGAGGTACAGGATACCTTTCTTGCAAGGCACACACTTACAAACTGCAGCTCAGCTGCAGACACTGGTGTGCTCAAGACATGGAGACATACTCAACCAATTAACTAGGAGCAGCTCCTTAAAAGAACTGTGGGACAGGAAAGTGGAAGTGGAGACTGGAAGTGGTTTGTACATCCTGGCCTGCTGGTGCTTCTGGCTTTTAGCAGTGTGAGCTCTCCAAATACTGATTGGGAAGGATCCTTGCAACAGGGGTTTGTTTCCTCCCAGTTTAGGGAAGACTGGGTTCTGCAGCTGGCCACTCACCTCCAAACCAAAGTGCCTGAATGCTAATTCACCAGCATCAAATGGCTGAGTCTGCAAGAGCTGTGGAACAGTTCTGCACTGTGACTAAAAGTTGTTTGACTGAAAGCCAAACAACTGGAAAGGTGTTCACTCTTGTTTTTTTTGAAAACCAATTGCCTGGAAAAGTCACTGTTTCCTGTTGGATTGAAATGCTTCAAAACTCCTTCAGAGGCTTGCCAGATGAACTAAGTTCACACCTTATTGCTGACACAGTCATCTCTGGTTGCTTGTCCTATTAGCTCTTTCTAGATGCTGGAAGTGTGTCAGCTCCTCCACCACTGATAGCTCTGGCAGTGTCATCTTCACCACATGCATGGTGGATGTCCCACTGACTTTCCTCTGATTCTTATGCCCTTGAACCTTTATATCACTGCCACAAGCAACTAATCAAGGCATATCCTTGCTGGTTCAACTGTGCTCTTCTTTGTTTCTTGTCATTCCTTCTGCCACAAGCAGTTTCGTAATCAGTGCCAGTGTTTGTCACGTATTGGGTGTGGAAGCAAACAGACTTTTCATCTGAACAGCTTTGACTCTTTTCTATACATCTTAGAACTAACCTACATCACCTATTATTGCACCTAACCCCGGCTGGTGCCTGGGAGCCCCAGTTATGATTTGCTTGTAGGACAGCTATATTCTATTTTAGAAGTTGCCAGTCCTAGACTTTCTTTCTTCAGCAATACCCTGACAGATTGTTTCAACATTAGACCTGTTCTTTGTGAAGATGAATGAGCTTCCCCAGATCGTCTGAAGCAAGGTCCTGCCACCTCTGTGATGGTAGAATTGTCATACAAGCTGACACTTAACTATTTCTAGCTGTTAGTGAAGCTGTTGGAATACTCTAGGCTGCTGTGGAAGTTCCTGGCTGTAGACATGAGGATAGAAAATACTAGTCTGTGAGTTCCCTCTGCACTCACTGAACTCCTTTAGTAGCAGTAACTGCTGCATCAGCAAAGGTTATGACTTCTAGATTGAAGGATTGGGAGATTAAATAACCACATGAACTGAGGAGGTATGGGTTTTTATGTCATTTTTGTTTTTTTCTGATTGTGATGTTGACTCATGAATGACTTTATATGAATTTAAGATATTTGATAAGCAATTAGCTCTTCTAGATTTCCAGCCCAAACTTTCTTCTCTTTCTGAGACACTAGTCTTCAGAATTACCTTTCAGACTTATTTTTTTCTTAATGGATCCATATGGATCCAACAGCTGATCAGCTAAGAAGATCATTCTGTTACTGGAGCTCTGGCTTCTTTGAAGATATTCTGACAGCATTCAGTTAATCAGTTTATATTTTCCTATAATTTGGGATGGGAAGAAATAATTCCTTGTATTCACCCAGAATGTGATTTTAGATGTAAATGGGGAATGGGAAAGAAGGGGTGTTAGTGGGTAGGTTGCACAAGTTAATTGACTGTTAGTTACATAGTATTCATGTCCTCTTGTTCCTTGTCTGCTTGCCCAGTGGAGGATGCTGCAAAGGAAAGTAAGTTCTTCAATCTCAAATGACAGTGCAGCTTATGCGTGCAGTGTGAGTTCACACACCAACAGCACCTCTTGAAGGTCCTGGCTATGGGTAGGCAGCCTTTCTTTGATTTAGTGCTGTGTGTCTGTGCATAATCAGGCAGGAGCCCTTTTATCTCAGGCAGCGTCTGCAGAGTATTTGTTCGCTCATGGCCTGCAGTATTCTGTATGCAGAAAGTACAAGTGGGCAGGATGTGCCACAGAACTTTTTTTCTTGGATCTCACAAGTGTCTTGTCTTGGTGATTGAAAGTAGGTGATGGTGGATTATGGTTTTGCTTGAAAATAGTTAATACCTCACTATGTTTTCAGTTATTTGTAGTCAGAGCATTTTCTTTCCAGTGAAAGATCCAGTCTCAATACCAGCAGTGTGCAGTTTCAGTCATGTATTACATGTAGGTATTTGATATAATACCTCACTAAGACACATAGCTCGCTATGTTTCTTAGTAAATATA